GGAAACAAACCCTGCCTAAGCTAAGCTACCAAGAAATAAGGGGGAGAAAGATATGGAAAAAACTAGCCTGGTGGGTAGTGTAGGTGGGGTAATAAGTAACCACAGTAATCATCATCTTCAGTTGTCTTTGAGCATGTCACTTATGTAGAAAGTGGATGAAAGAATGTACATTGCAATGGTGATGGTCTGTCAGAGTAACAGAAAACCTGCAATTATGGGACACTCTTCCAGTCTAAATTCATGAATACTTTACAGCTTAAATTATTCACTGCATAAAAGAAGATATAATTTTTTCCACAATCAGTGTGTTTGCTTCCTTTTCTCTGTTTGAGTTCCTGCTCTCCATTTTCACTTCTCCCTGCTGAATATTGCTTAGCCTTTTCTCTCTCCTAAGTTTGGCAACGTAATGATTAAAATTATGAGCCTCTTTTTGGGAGTTTGATTGACTACAAGATCTCCTTTTCCAGCCTTTCCTCTTTCTAAAGCTTAGGAAAACAAGCATTTTCTTTCTCATAGTGTAGAGAATGAGTTATTGAAAACATTCCAAATCTGCTTGATTTGCATCGAGAGACTCAAACAGGAGCTTCATCTCTCAGCTTATGGTGTTACCAAATATGTAGTTCAGGTATTTTATAGATTTTTGTCAAAAAATCAACTGCAGCTGTTAATTTAATCCTATTTACATAATACTACAATTAAAAAAAATAAATTGCAGGTAACTCATTTTACAGAACAGGATATTCAAAATGAACTTGTGCCATTCTGTCTTTTTTTTCCCCCCCCTCCTCCTATTTTCTCCTTCTTTCATTTTTCTTCAAGTTTGAATACAGCTGGCTGTTTTGCCACCTGAATCATCAAATGTTTTTTGTTAGGACATAAAATTACTTAAAAATGCCATAGGTGAATGGTTCAACTTGCAAAGCCTAAAAATGTAGTTCTGTTGGCAAACCAGGTGAAGTATGTAGAGATCAAGTAATTCAGAGGTGCTTTTGTTTCACAATGTTTTGCACAGATGTGATAAATCTACAAATCCTGAGATAGTACAGTGCTAATTTCAGCAGTGACTGCCTGAAGAGAATTGTTAGGTGCAGTTCTGTTTTAATTTAGTGTTTCTTTACAGAGATTTTGATGGAAACAAAAACCCCAACACTGCAGCAAATTAATAGGAAGTGCATTGGCAGGGTAGATTACAAGGCTGAGTTTTTTTCTTGGCTGAGGCTAACAATACACATTATCCCAAGCTGTAGCATGGGAGGAAATCCTCTTCATTACCCACTTGGTTGTAAACAGCTCAGATGTTACTGTTGCATGTTGTCTGTTTTGTGAAAACGGTTCTTACTTTTCTCTCTTACCAAAATTACCTTTTGTATGAGCAAGGAACAAAAATACTTTCTGGCTCTGAGGCCAAACATGCAGTGCTCACTGAAGAGTTTTCTTAGAAACTGCTGTAGCATTGACTATGTCCTGCAGCTCCTGAGAGCTGTGCCAAGTGTGTGACCAAAACACACAAATTCAGGTGAACAGCCTGAAGTGAAATCACAGTGTGTCCAGCTAGGAAGGGAAAGTTAGTGTCATCAGCAACGACTGTGTTAGGAATAGATTGAGACTGCAGATGAGAAGGTTTCTAGCTGAGGAGTGGAGGGAGTTGAGGAAGTCTTGCCTTGTACCCTAAGTTGTTTGATTACAGAGATGGGTGAGCTCCTGCAGGAGTGTGTGAGCAGGCAGAACTCTTGAAGTTACAGCATTAAATTGGTGAAACAAATGAGTGTGGTGGGATCATAATGTGAGTTTCACAGGCTACTGTAAAGAAAAAACCAAACAAACTAGCAAGGAAGGAAATTTTCTTTCCACCTTGAAACATAATTTCTTTCTTGGACTTGTTTTGCTTTTTAAATTTACTCTTTTTGGGAGGAACTGGAGACTGGCAAGTGCTAGAAACAGGATGCAGGGTGGAATGAGTGGGTGTCTCAGGTGCACATGAATTGTCTTCATGCTGTCTGGTTAACAGATTACCAGGTGTAGTCAGGAAGGATTTCTTTCCTTCATCCCTTGCAAGCAAATCCATATTGCTTGAGAATTGTTTATTCAACAGACTTCCTGCTATTGCTGCCACACTGAGTATTGATGATGCTCTTGACCTCCACTACTCTCCCTCAGGGACATGTTAGACTTAAAGATTCTGTAATTGGTTTGTTGGTGTTGGTTTGTCTTTTGAATAAAGACAAAGCTTTGAGTTGTGCTGTATGGTGTTCAGGGGTGTTTTGATGACCCATTCTCAGTGTCAGTCCATCAGATATGTTTCTTGAGACACAGATAATGAGAAAAGTACTGGGGGAAAAAAGATGGTGTTCAGGGGTGTTTTGATGACCCCTTCTCAGTGTCAGTCCATCAGATATATTTCTTGAGACACAGATAATGAGAAAAATACTGGGGGGAAAAAACTTTCCACCTTGAAACATAATTTCTTTCTTGGACTTGTTTTGCTTTTTAAATTTACTCTTTTTGGGAGGAACTGGAGACTGGCAAGTGCTAGAAACAGGATGCAGGGTGGAATGAGTGGGTGTCTCAGGTGCACATGAATTGTCTTCATGCTGTCTGGTTAACAGATTACCAGGTGTAGTCAGGAAGGATTTCTTTCCTTCATCCCTTGCAAGCAAATCCATATTGCTTGAGAATTGTTTATTCAACAGACTTCCTGCTATTGCTGCCACACTGAGTATTGATGATGCTCTTGACCTCCACTACTCTCCCTCAGGGACATGTTAGACTTAAAGATTCTGTAATTGGTTTGTTGGTGTTGGTTTGTCTTTTGAATAAAGACAAAGCTTTGAGTTGTGCTGTATGGTGTTCAGGGGTGTTTTGATGACCCATTCTCAGTGTCAGTCCATCAGATATGTTTCTTGAGACACAGATAATGAGAAAAGTACTGGGGGAAAAAAGGTATTATTCCTGTCATGTTAGTTAATAAAGGAAGAACTCTGAATTCAGTGTGCTGGTGCTGTGAGGCTGTGTGAAAATTCTTATTTTCTCGTCAGTGTCTGTGGGGTAATTGTATGTCTAAAAAGTAAATCAGCACTTACCCCACAAAATTTTCTTCATCAATGTAGCACTTAAATGACTAATAAATGTATTGTAATTATGCTAAACACGTGCTGAAACCTTTCGATAGACCAAAACCACAATGCAGTCATGAGATTTTGTATGTGCAGTTAGAAGATGCAGTGGCTACCCAGGAGTTTTAAGAAAACTTGCTGTGGCAAGATTTCTTGAGGGCTTCTTAGAAGGTTAGAACTGAGGCTGCTGCTGCCCAAAGTGGGTGCAGTCTCACCCAGCCCTGCCCTGCTCACTGCCAGCTG